TGGAAAAATGCAGCTCTGTAATGAGAATTCTGGAAAACTGCAGCTCTAGAACGAGAATTCTGAAAAATGCGGCTCTAGAACGGGAATTCTGGGGAAATGCGGCTCTAGAACGAGAAATTCTGGGAAAATTGCGGCTCTAGAATGAGAAAATCTGGGAAAATTGCGGCTCTAGAATGAGAAATTCTGGGGAAATGCGGCTCTAGAATGAGAAATTCTGGGGAAATGCGGCTCTAGAATGAGAAATTCTGGGGAAATGCGGCTCTAGAATGAGAATAAAACAACCTGCTTTACAGAAACTCCCTGTGAAGTTTACTCAGTGCACTGTGTTCCCACTCAGGCTGCACTGCCTTGAGTAGTGCTTTGGCTTTTTGCCAGTGGATTTCCCAGCTGGAAAGTGTGGCAAAGACAAAAATTCTACTGCCTTTTGTTTCTCTGCAAAACTTTCTTCATATGACACTAAGAATTCACTCTGTGCACTGAGAGCAGGGTCTCCTCCAGGTCCAGAGCAGCAAACTGTTCTTCAGCCTGGGGTTTGGAGGAGTTGATGCTGAAGGAGCTGTATAATAGTAAAGGGGAGAAAAGAGTCAAGCCTGGAGGGTATTTAACAGGCCTTAAAAACCTTTCTTCTGCAAGAGAGGATTAATGCTCTCCTCCCATTCCAACCCACCTTCATTTTTTTCCTTTACAATCCCTAAAAATGGAATATTTGCCTGTAGCCCAGGATCAGGAACCTCTAGACTAGAGACTAAGAAAAACACATTAGAAGGTCTTCTAAGACAGGGGAAAGGTTGGGTGCTCTTTTGCATGTAAGAATCCCAGGAGTTATTTATACCTTCATCCTGTAGCAGCTGATTTATCACAACCTCCCAGAGTCAGTAAAACATCACAGCGTGTTCTGTGGCCATGATTGTGCAAATGGAGTGCTTGTAATACAGTAAATTTAGCATTTAACTAAATGTTTGCATCTCGTGGAAGCAATGCAGCAGAATTCTGGTAACTGGAATACTTTCAATGGACAAAGATGTTCAGTTTCCTAGGAAAACAATTTTTATCAGCTGACTCATTTTCAATTTTTATAAAGGCACTGGAAAAATTCCATTTTTGTTATTCCAGTTAAGAAGTTCACACATGAAGTCAACACATCAGTGTTCCAGTGGCCAGAGTTAAACAATTCTTTTTAAAAGGGAAAAAGGTGGCTTGAAAATACAAGCATAAAAAGGTTTTTTTTTAATATTTTTTTCTATCTGCTGAAAAGATAAAATTGACCAAAAAAAAAATACTGGGAAAGAATGTGAAAGACTGCTTATCGTATTTGCTTAACTCCTGCCTTGATTATATGAGGTGCTTTGCAGGAATTTATCACTGGTAACAAAGAAATACGTAGGATGGGTTGTCTTTCTAATAATATTGGCAACAAAGGCATTCTCTAGGTTGAAAGTACCAACTACCAGTGACTGAACCTCTGGAAGGCACACAAAATTTGGCTCAAATCAGTGCAAGTGTGGAGTTAATTAGAGAAGTGGGGAAAAAAATGGGTAAAATGTTGGGGTGAAGATAAGGCTTCCAGTAACCTCAGCAGTGCTAGGAGCAGGAGCCCTCCCAGATTTTGGGGAGCACTCAGCACCTCATGAGCATCAGTAATCTGAATTTATTGTGTAATTGAGAAAACCAGTAACACTGTAAATGAAACTGTTCTACAGAAGTTGTGTGGAAGTGTTCAGAAAATAACAATAGAGGAGAATAAGTCCCAGGCTGTAGTAGAGGGTCAGAACATGTAGTGATAAATAATTCTCTCAGTCCATCCTGTGTTTTTGGGAATGATCACAAAGCATTTTTATGGGTCTGTGTCCTCAGTGCTTGTTTAAGAAAGTCTAAGTGGTTGTTAGCAATTAGTGGATGCCCTGTGGAACTTGCCATGAGTGCTGTGTCAAGCTTACAAGTGAAGGAAGCTGCAGTGGGATATGTTCAGTGCAGGAATTCATACAACTTGGAGCCACTGGAAGTCTGCCTTCTGCAAAGCTATCTGTGTAATCTTTATTTTGGCTCAATATCTCTTATTAATACTGAGCTTCAAGAGGTTCATCACGAAATATGGGGGTATTTTCAGTTGAATGTTTTATTGTCACGCTAAGTCAGTGCTTTTGAAAATTCCAAACTGATAGAAAAACTCTTTTTAAATGAAGTTCCTTGCTGTACATGGCAATGGGTCAAAACTAGACACTGCTATGAACCACTCCAGTTGATTTATTTTTCTCCTTTTTCTTTTTTTTCCTTTTTGAAAATTCTTAATAACAAAAGTGTTAATTTTCCTCATGCCAATCATAATGTCTTTGTAGTAGGATATGGTTCGTGGTTTGAACACGTGCAAGAGTTTTGGGAACATCACATGGATGCCAATGTACTTTTCCTCAAGTATGAAGATATGCACAAGGTAGGTTAGATGTATTTTAATTACATTTAGCACCCCAGTGTTTAAAATATATAAAGCACAAAATCTGCTTCTTCTGTCCATACATTGGGACTCTCTAAGTCTGATACCATTTTTAAAGCACTGGCATTCAGTAGCTTCTTCATATACATATTAATGTACTCAGGAGTCTGACTCACCCACAGGCACCAAACTACTTGCAGAGAAGGCAGTGAAGTGAAACTGTTCAGCACTTGCTACACTCAGCCCTGAGCATTCATTAAAAGAAATGTCTTGCTGTATGTGCTGTATAAGTGTGTGTGTGGGGGAAATTATATAATCTGTATTTTTTCCTGTATATTTGGCATTTATTCAGATTATTTTGTTCTTACTGCTTTCTGTGAAACTGTTGAAAACAATTAGATATGATCACGTAGCATAAGGTGAACATAATTATTGGGTCCTTACAGTATGCTGGCTAATAAATCCAATTTAATCAGAAATCTAGTGGAAATACCACACAGAACATTGGTTTCCATTTTTTATTGCAATGTGATATTTTTGAGGATTAATGAAAATATTTCAAGATGTTTATTTGACTGGAAAACTAATGCAAATACAGGGAAAACCCACCCTGTAAAGAGGCGAAGTCAGGGCAGAACTCAAGAAAGCTGGGTAAATGATAATTCTGGAGTGGGGTGATGAAATAATAAATAAACTAATAAAATGAGAGTATGTAAAATTTAGTCAGAATTATCTCAAACCCATGGTTTTGAATGATTGTATATTCCTGGCTGTGCTCACTGCTGGATGCTGCTGGAAGCTGGTGTCTTTCTCCTTCCTGATAAATATTACTATTTTGTCCTTGCAGCTCGAGAAGTCTTACTCATACTAAGGAACCCTGGAATTCTAGAGGTGCAAATTAATGACTGATTAATGCAAATTAATTCTCAAAGGCCACCCCACTAGATCCTTTCCATCTACATGACTGCAGCCCCAGAAGCTGGCAGTGAAAGAAGGGATGTTCTAACCTTTGTGATCATTTATTTTACCAAGATCAAAATCAGAGCAGCTTGTAATTCCTCCAAAAAGCACTTTGGAATTCTGAAGTGATCAGTTAAGGATGTGGTTCTCTGAAGTGGAAAGCGTCACAGTTACTTTAAACTCCCCATTCTAATATTCGAAGAAGTTCCATATTTGAAGGCTGTGGTCTCTGCCAACCTGTTTCACCCTCATTCCTTGGAATGTGTTTATTTCCAGCAAATGTGAAGGTGGCAAAAATTTCAAGGCAGTGGTGTTTCTACAACTTTTCCACTCGTGTTTGTCACACTCGTCAGGATAAAACTCACCTTGAAATATTTAAACTCACAGGGGAAAAAAAATTAATTTCAAATATTTTAAGTAAACTGGGGTTTAAATCCTCTCTTACAGGACCTTGCAACGATGGTTGAGCAGCTGGTGAGGTTCTTAGGAGTTTCTTATGACAAAGCACAGCTGGAATCCATGGTGGAACACTGCCATCAGCTCATTGACCAGTGCTGTAATGCAGAAGCTCTTCCTGTTGGCAGGGGTATGTTCAAAACCCACAGTAAAACCCTCCTTGGAGAAGTTGCAAGAAGCAACTGCACAGCTTAGTGACCTCCAGGGTGGGTTAAGATGTTGGTGAAATATTGCTGAAAATGATATAAATGATGCTGCAAATATTGCTGTGAAAATGGTGGGAGGTAACTGCCTCTTGGTGCAATTTGGGGGTAGTTTGGCTTGAGATAAAGTGAGGCGGGAGTGACTGAAAAGGGTGAAAAAATCCAAGATTGACAGTGTATATTCACACTGTGATGTGAATATACACTGCTCCTTCTGACTTTTGCCATGCCAAAGCCCACGCAATGCCATGCGTGACCTAAACACTTATTTTTTTAAGTATATCAGGTTTTCTAGAATAGCAGTTATTCCTAATTTCAGTTTCTAAAATCACCAGGAGCTGTAGATTCCCTTCCCTTACGAGCTTTTCCTTTTCAGTGCCTACCTCAGCTGTTTAAGGTGTGTTCAGCTTCCAGGTGTTTATTGTGGTGAGACCTTTCTTTGGGAACCTGAAGGTGCCATTTGATCTGTTGATACATGTGGCCTTTGATAGTGTCAGGAAATCAAGTCCTTCCTCAGTTGTCTTTGAGAAGCATAAAAGAGTGAGCTTAGGCTCCCTCAAATTATTTTCTGTAGGTTGTTTTATAGCACTCAAGGGCTTTTTTTAGAAATGAGGGAATAAGATCGAGATGGTCAGCCTCACATCTGCCTTGTCCAAACATAAAATCACTTCATACACTAGTTTAACCCAGTTTTATTTGGAACTCTCCCTTCTTCGTCCATCCATAGTCACGTTAGCACTTTTTGCCTCAGCATCAGACAGCATGTGTCTATCCTGACCACAAAGTCTTTCAGAGGAATTAATGTCCAGGTTATTATCCCTTACCCAGGGGTTCTGACCCGAGTGCTTTGCTCTCAGATTTCTGCCTGTAGGAGCCATTTCCACACCACCTCCCTCAGCCAACCTTCGTGTGACCTGCAGATCTTATCAGCTGTAATTTTTATACATATTTTCAAAACTCTCATAAAAAATATCAAGTATCATCAGCCCCTCTTGACTGCTTATCCTGCATTAGCCAGTTATTTATCCTTTTATCGTGCATTTTGTTCACATTGTGTAGTTCTGTTAAAAACCCACACGCTTTACAAAAGCCAAACTGTAATTTTACCAACACTCAGGTTTGTCTGAGGGCAAGTTTGCTTTCCCATGAAAGCAGGTTCCCCGGAATTCTGTACTACCTTTGTGTCTTTTTGTAGAGTCCTTCACCAGTTACTCAGCTCAGACTCTCTGTTAGAGTAACTTGTCCCGTTTGTGTGTTGTCACAAATGTTTCCCAGTGTCATACTTGGACAAAAGCCATTCCTCACACCTCCCTGCTTTTAACTGAGGAAGCTTCATTTTGCCATAGAGGAGGAAGGGAGTTACAACAGTTAATGTAATATTTTGTCATTTGTTCACAGTGTGCTTTTCAGTAAAAATATCCTTATTTTGAATTTCTTTTCTTTGCTGTCTCTGGCTTTTACAATATTTTGTTACTTCAGAATGTAGCTTCATTAGCAGTGCTTTGTTTCCTCTCTGTTTCTGTGACAAAGAATGGTGGCAATAACATGACAGCTTATTGTAATTTGTTTCAGGTATTTTTAATTTGTCATTAGTTACATTTACTTTATTATTTTGCTTTATTTTAGTTCTTCATTTTTTTTTCTTTTAGCACATTGATCTTTACTCTGAAGATAACCCTGAACTGCTGTGAAAGCAGAGCAGTGCTTAGATATGTTACTTGTATTTGACTCTTATCACATCCTAATTTACGCAGTTGCATGATTCAAATCAGAAACCAGGTGGGTGACTTTTTGACAAGCTATCAATTCATATGGTAAAACAAAACAAAAGATGTTGCAAATAATCCACTGTGTGTGTCCTTTGTAAAACTTGTCATTTGTCTGTACGTGTTGTTGGGGAGATTCAGGAATAAAAGGTATTTATTTGCCCAGCAGAGGAAGAAAGTATTTTATCATTATAATTGTTGAAAGTTTCATTTTTCATGCTGTACTTTATGCAGTTGTAGTTGCCAGAGCAAATTTTAAGTCAGAACGAGATGTTTATGCTTGCAAGCATTTTTTAAATGTTTTTCTTTTTTTTGAATACAGGAGAAATTTGGTAAAACCAGTAAATGGCATTTTCAGTTTCAGGTTATTTTGATCTTTGGATCCTGAAACAAAACCAGGATATTATCATACCTACAGGAGTTATAGAAAAGTACTGGTTTCATAAAACAGCCCTTGCCACATGTCATGTTACCATGTAATATGTAGATGTTTCAGACAGTTTTGTTTCTGGACTCAATTATAAAGTTGCTGCATAAAAGCAATGGTAATTAAATTAAATGGGTATTCTTCTTATGCATCAAGTGCATAATTAAGCTCCCTGCATGTAGCTTTGTTCTTGCTGTTATGATTAAACTCTCTGGTAGCACAGTCCCAATTCTCCTTTCATTTATTCCAGTCGAACAAGCCTGGATTTTGTCTTTATATCCAGCATAAATGAGACAAGAATTGGGCCTCTCAGTCTGGTTACTCCATGGGGCTCATTCAGCTGCAAGTAACTCTGGCTGACTTTGAGTTAAATAAATTTTGGACTGCACTGGAACAGTTGTTGAGGGGTCAGGAGTGTCACCTGGTTATGTTGCTGTTTGGGTCCAGCAGAGTGGATAAATACTTTGTACAAGGAAGGAGCTCAGTGTCATCCACCCAAAGCTTCCTATTGCTCAAAATTAAAATTTAAGTGGCACAGACTTGGTGTGTGGCACTTGTTCTCTTTCATAGATAGAAACTAGGCACTGATATTTAACAAACAAACCTCTCCATATGGAGGAATGTAAATTCATCTGTTGAACTTACCTCTAGACACAAAATAATAGAAATCAGCAATGAAAATACCACACTTCAGTAATCAGTTTAATACTCCACATTCCGTGTACCTTTTGGATACTTCCCTAACCAGTGTGTGCTGGAGGCACAGTGAGTTAGAAATGTATTATTAGCTGTTGGAATTATTCAACAGGCACAGTTTGCACTGAAACCAGAAATCCACCTTTGAATGAATACCCAGCCCCAGCTCTGTGTTCATTTCTGATTAAGGCTAAAGTCTCACACAGAACTGAATTATTCCTGTATAATGCTGGGCTGGTGCTGGTGAAGAGGTGTATGGTATTTATTTAATGGGTTGTAGCAGGATAATTGGGTAAGACAATGAACAGCCTTTGGTCTCATTAAGCATTCAATGAAAGCCAAGGCCAAGACTGATTAGAATCTCCCAGATGATAGTTGGTGCACAATTAGACTGTAGATATTCAGAGTCCTGTTACATCCACTCTCTGACTTGTGTTCCTTCTCTGTGTTTCAGGACGAGTTGGGCTATGGAAAGACATCTTCACTGTTTCAATGAATGAGAAGTTTGATTTAGTTTATAAACAGAAGATGGGAAAATGTGACCTCACATTCGATTTTTATTTATAAAAAATGCATGCCTATGATATCCAGATATAGCTAGAAGTGCTTTATGCATTCATTTATTACCTGCTGGACAAACTACTGTAGCTATTATGTGTAATAAAATTTAAAGAAAGAGAAAACAATCCAAGTAAACCATATCAGATACAATTTATCTTTGATCCTAAGCAGCTGTTTATCTTCTGGTATTTAAATCCTGTGTCCACATGCAAGAAGTTCCCAGGCAATACTAGAACATTCAGCTGTTACGGAATGTATTATATACTTATAAGGTATGTACCATATATGCAACTAGAATGTACACCTTTTCAGCCCCACATTGATTATTTAATGTGTTTTATAAAAGCTTGTCACTAGAACCTAAATAAATGTCCATAGACCAAATAAAAAAAAAAAGATTTCTGAGGGAAACAAGTTAATAGGCCAAAATATTCTGTTAGAACGATCTCAGGGGTTAATCGTCACATTTATTTTTATAGCAGGTATAGCAAGTATAAATAAATCCCATCCCAAAATAGTAACTGATCCAAGTGGGGTTCACATTAGGTTCTGCACACCCTTATCTGTGTGATCTGAGTAGGTTCTCTGTGCGCTGGCATATTCTGCAGGACAGGGCTTGTTGCGATGTGCAGCCTGATCCCAGAACCCACCTGTGCTTTCATGGATGGCAGCTCACAGCTGGCTCCCCCATGGATGCAGTTCAGCTCCATGGTGAGGGTCAGCACACAGAAGATCCTCAAGCCCTCAAGTCTAGTTCAGTCCCACAAAACTGGGCTTAAAATCAAGGCATCTGGTGCAGGGGCTTTCTTGAAGGATCAGCCTCTGACCCGTATCGCTTTCCTGTGTAGATGTGGATTTCTCCCATTAGGAGCAGAGAATTTCTCCCGCTGGAAGAGAGAAGCTGAGGTGCTGGGTAGCCTCTGGTTCCACTAAAAGGTGACTAAGGGCACTTAGCTCTGTTTATGGCTGGTGCTCCTGGACTCCACCAGCCCCAAGGGGAAGGTGAGTCTGTGCCAGTGTAACTGCAGCATCCGGGGAAGAGAGTTGGTGGATGTGCCAGCAGGTGGGAGTATTGCACAAATATCCATGCAGAACACAGTTCCAGGAATTGTTAGCCGTGACTGGTCTGGATTATAATCAGGATTCAAGTTTCTTTCTGTATCTTTTCTTTTCAATCTCCACGACAGGTACACAACCGGCCTGAAGCAGGCTGCTATCACTATAGAATCTCCCAAATTATTTTATTTGTTCCATTATGTAATGACATCCATGCTTTTTAGGTTCTCAGCTGCAGGAGGCCCGTTTTTGCTAGTCAAATGTTCAGGCTCACCAAAAAAACCGTGAGGAAAGGACTAGCTTTTAGTGTTTCAGTTCTGTTGGGAAACTGTCAGTTCAGCAACTGGCAAGTGGTGTAGCATGATGTGGCTTGACAGCACTTTTCCTTGTATATTTGTGAGTGAAAATGCTTTCAGTGAAATTTTATTTCTATTTTTATATTTTTAGTACTGTATGAATATTAAGCACTACACATTATACTTCTGTGCTTGCTTGCTTACTGAATAAAAGATGTGTTCCATGCGTTGTGGTTGCTCATTTTCTAGACCTGCTCAGGGCCAGGTGGTCTTTGTGAGAGTCTTGGATCCTCTCTCCTACCCACAACTCCTCCCTGGAGACAGAAGAACCACAGAAATTGGGTCAGATGGGGTCTGACAGCACCTCATAACAAACCCCTGTGCAGCAGACAAATACCCACAAACTACACCAAGCTGCAAGAACACAGAAGTAGGAGAATTCCCTCTTGCTGCAGCGGAGGATAAAATCCCCCCACGATTCCTGCGGATTATAGTCAGAAGAAAATTTCATTAGCACCAAAAAAATCTACTTAAATCACTTAATCCTGAAGATGCATGAGCAGTACAACCTTACTGGCTACCTAAAGGGTTTCTCACATTTCTGGAGAGAGCAGGGAATCCTGCTCTGGTTCCCAGGCACAGGCACTCTCCTTTGCTACGGATGATGTCCAGCCCCAGCCTCCAAAGCCAAGAATGTTCTACATCCACGTTTTTAAGAGCCAGGTCTCTTCACAGGTTGTTTCCAAGCTAAGCCTCTGCAGAGGGCCACCAGCTACCAGGCTGGAGGGGGCACAGCTGGTTTGGCCAAACCCCTGTTTTCTAGTCATAAAGAGCAGTAGTTAGTGTGACAACCTAACAAAGCCTGGTCAAAGCCCATTCCCATGTAAGGCATGCTGTAATTCCACCTTTGGATCCCTGGTCCTTGGCATTTCAGTTTTTCTATTTAAATCCATAGGTGGTAAGTCCCTCCCTCTTTTGACAACTTGAACTTTCAGGACTTGGCCAAGTGTCACCAAACACAGACACCCCTTGGCCCCGTGCCCCAAATTGTCTCTGGAGAGAAATCCTCTTTGGTACAAATGCACTGCAAGTGAAGAACAAAAATGGCAGAAAACCAAGAGAATTATCTTTTTTCCTCCCCTCAACTAATCTAGGCAAGAAATCTTGGCACAGTTTTGTATACAAAAGGCTCAGGTGTTCATTGCAGTGAAGTTGGGCAGGAAAGAGGAAAGACAAGAAGGCTAATGAGTAACCACTAAAGATTCTCTGCATTTTGTACAAGCTTCACGACACAACATGGCTCCAATAGTTCTGGCAATAATTATAAAGATTTATAGGCTTGAGTCACCATTATTATAGGCCCTTCAGTCATGCCTGGGCTATAAATAACACCACTTAGTAGCTACCAGCAAAGGTTTAAAGGGAGGACTAAGGAACCCCATTTCCTGCTTCAGTCAAAAGAAAAAGGCTGAACAGAGATTCAGCTGAATCAAATAATATTAACCAAAAAAATTCCCAAGCCCAGTGACCACATTTGTAGGAAGGACACAGCACAGCAATGATGATGTGTAATCTCACTACAAAATCCATCTGATTTCTTTACTTACAGGATCTGCAGACTGGTGTCCTCTAGTGTTTGAATCATAAAACATATGCAGATGAGTATTTTCTGCTGCCTGTCATGATGTGTATCACACAGAACAGAAATAAGTGCAACCAATAATCAGCTTCATTCTGGCAGTGGAAAGAGAGTCTGCAAAAATGAGCATCTTCTTTTAAAAATAAAGCATACCCAGATATTGGCATAATGAGGCTTAGACCTCAAGTGCCAAGTCACAGCCTAGTAGAAACTGCTAGTTTATCTTCAGAGTGGTAAGGAAGTCAAGAACACTGATGCCACTCAGCTCTGGTCTATCAGCATAAAACCCAGCCCTTTAAAAGATGGGAGAGTGATGGCAAATCCTACAAGCAGACTGGAACAACAACCCCTTACAGCTCTCAGGCTTGAATCATGCTTGGATGCATGTAACATCCAGTGTCCTTCTGAAAGCAGGGCAAGCCTTTGTGCTTTAGAACCCCAATGTGTGGGAATCACTGTTACACGTGGGAATTCCTATTACATGTGGGAATTTCTATTAGCAGCTCAGGACCATAAATTGGTTTCGGGAAGAGTGAAGCTGTTTGCACCAGCTGAATAGAGAACAGAAAGGAGAAGCCTTTGTACTCCCTGCTGACACAGGAAGCTCCATGAGGTTGTTTTGGTGAGCTGTGCTGTGCCAGCACCATTGCTCTGGATTTTGCCGCTACATCAATGGGCAGAACTGTAAAGCCACACAACAATTTCTGCTGGAGCCCTGGCTGTGCACAGATGACAAGCCCTGGCAGTACACACTGGAGCAGTTTTAGGAGCTGCCACCTCCAGCTGTCCACACTGCCCCTGTTCCAGGAATAGCCACCGTGGAGGAGTGCTGGCTCCCCAGCTGCTGTGGTTCACAGGCTGCCACACTAACTTACACTGACAGGGATGGTGGCTTCAGAAAATGGGCTGATTTGTGAACTGCAGCTGCAAAGAGCCAAAGCACGTCCTCAGGTGCTGCCCTGGCTTGGAGGTGTCCTCCCAGCTCCTTGTCAGAGCTCTTCTATGGATTTTCTGTCACAGATTTCACCTGTGAAAGATATTGTCTATAAGGGTGGGATCATGTCCTTCAGCAAGAAGGAGAGAGAGCTCCATGCTGCCACATGGAGTGTGTTAACTAAAACCTGCCTTTGGGAGGAATATTGTTGTGCAGGAGGCAGTGCTGCAGTGAGACATGCTGTGTGACAGCCAGCAAGATGCAGAGAGAATGGTGAAGCAATGGCAGCTGACTGCTCACACTGATCCCAATCACAACCACTAATATGCCTGACTTGCTTGATGTGTGTGGCACGAGTGATATTCAAAATAAGTGCCACCCAGACAGTTAAATCCACTGTCACCATCTCTGTCACACACCCAGCTTTTGCCAGCACTGAACGCAAGATGACAATTTAATCTTCCCATGCAGATAACAGTAGCACAGCTGCTGTAACAGTGTGCTGAGGCTTCAGCCCTCGCAGGCCTTACATCTGCTTTCTCATGGCTTTGGAAAAGAGCCTCCCATGAAATATGTGAGAGATCCAAGGGCTCAGAACCAATTGGAACAGGGAAAATGTTTAGATTTCAAGCTCCACGGGGAAGACACTCTTTTATTTCAAAAGAAAACAACAACAACAACTTTTGCCAGGTACCATTCCTGTTTGCTTGTGTCCCCTAATTGTTTCTGGTGCTGCAATCCCCCCTGCCAACAGGCAGCTCTAACTCTACTGAGATAATCCAGGAAATGCTGCAGGAGACTTTCAGTACCTGGGATTGCCACCAATCCATAGCTGGTAGGATTTAAGCCCACAAAGGAAGATCCACAGTGAGTTTCTAGATCCAGTTCTTTAACTATCCTGCCTCAGCCACACATGCTTAGGGGTTGGTCTCTCTTGACAGCCAGACCCTTTTGGACATGTTCCCTCAGTAAATACCAGTGAGATTAGAGACTAAAACTGGTTCTGACTTTGTTTTTAGTATTAAAGATCTGCGTAAGCCTGTATACTCTAAACAGAATGAAAAAGGACTATAAACAAATATATGATGTAGGTGAATTCAAGCTGTAAACATTTGGTTTTTAACCAACTATGGATCATTTGGTCACTCCTTTTTACTCAGTAATCTGCAGCAATTTACATGAAGCTTTTGGAAATGAAGAAGTCATTTCCAAACTATTCTTTTTCTAGCAATAACTATGTTGCTGTGTGCAGCAATTACATCCCTGCAATCCTACTAATATTTCTGCTCAAGTCATTGTCTCTGAATGAACACTATCACTGAATTCAAAGGGACCACACGAAAGGTAAGTTACACACGCAAAGTTTTGATGTGCCCTGTAGGTCATTAATCTGTGTCAGGAACTACTGAAATACTGAACTTGTTCATGGATGTTTGAAAACAGCATTATTGGATGTGTGCTGGGGTGTCTGGATCCTGCAGGACACTTTATTTTTTTTCCAGAAAATGCCTATAATATAGTTTCCAACAAATCTTTAATTTATTAAAAAAGATACATCAAAGCTTAGGGGCAGACATAGAATAAGGCCCTTTTTTCATGTTGGAATGCAGTAATTTATGTAGTCCTTTGGAATTAACAAAAAAGCCACCAGTGCTGGGCTTTGGGTGATCCCAGTTCCCCCCTTGAATGGCTGAAAGTTCAGGGCAGGATAGAAGGAAGCCTTTTTGTTATTAAACTCCCTTATTTGATGTGCTTTAGGCTGGCTGCTTTAACTCTGGGGGAATTTCTGCCTTTGGGACAAAAAATTACACAGTTCATGAGTTCATAATATATAAAAAAATATTTTTCTTGAATATAAAGCATTCCATTCAATCTCTTATTGGCAGTCTATTAAATTAATTTTCCCCCTATTGATTTTATCTTGCCTGTGATGGTAATTGGAGAGTGATTTTTCTTGTCTTTGTCTCAATTCCTGAGCTTTTCCACATTTTTTTCCCCCATCCTGTTGAGGAGAGGGTGGGAGATCAGCTGGCAGCCAGTCTAGGTCCACCTACCCACTGTGGAAGCTTCTGGTAGCCCATTTCAGATCACACAGGAACTTATTCTGATGTGGCTCTGCTTGCTACAGCCTCATCATGGGAACAACAAATTGTGCTAGAGCCACAAACTCAATCTGTATGGAGGATTTCACAGCCTTAATTGTTCTCCAGCAATTGCAGAGGCTAACAGTCTTTCAAGGGAAATAAAATTAAATAAAGGACAAGGTTACAGTGATCCTTTTACTCTAGGTTGCATAAAATAAAGTGTATAAGGCTTAAAAAAAAATAGAAAGAAAATGAAGATGGGACTTTCTATCTGTCTTGCTTAACACAATAAAAAATAGTGAAACTTTCAGGAACAAATAGAAAAAACTTTCTATTCTAAAGCTTTGTTTATTCTTCCAAGAAAAGAAAAGGCTGTGATCCCGTGGTTCTGACTGGAACACTGTAACAGTTCCTCATTATTCTGTTAGTTAGAAACTGTCTTCTACCTTTCTATCTAAACTGATCAGAAATACAACATTTGCAAGATCCATCCATCTTAACTATAGTGAAACCTGCCTCAGCTGCAGGTACTTGCTATATGGACACTTGGGAAACTCTTATCAATTAAA